TTTTAAGAATGAGACAGTTTGGGCGGTGGCTTAATCTGCTTTATTGATTCGGCATTTGGATAAGGAGAGATCGTCAATATTCCTAGAGAAGATTCAGGAGGAAATGACTGACCGATGTCGATCTAGTAATCGGCAGACCTAACATTGCACATTGTGTTGTTTGCGTAATTAATGGGTCACTCCTTGTGGGAACAGATGTTGGCCCAATTTCTTGTCAGGGCTTTATCTTGGGAAATTTTCATATCTCCTACTTGATTTATAAATATTTACAACTTTACCATACAAATATAATTAATTATGTACTTAATTAATAGACCACATTTAATTACATCAATGCCTAAAAAGGAGTTACCATATCCATTACAACCTCAATCCCTTGATTTACGTTGTTTAAGACCATATTTGACTACATTAATGCCTAAAAGGCAGTTACTATATCCATTTCAACCTAAAAAAATGGGTTCATTATTTTATTTTGATTTTTTTTTTTTTTTTATCTTTGATAATTCATTAAATGAGTTTTCCAGAGTTTTAATGGTATATATACAATCTTTTAATGGTATATATATAGTTTATTTTTAATCGTTTTTTAATGATATATATTATCATTTTTTTAAATATTGCTCATTTGAGAATATACCAAAAATATACTGAAAATATACTAACTATAAACTATGAATAACCATACAAATAAAACGCTCTACCCTTAATAGTCATGTATATTCCATTACAAATACCAAAAAGAAAAAAAAAATATATGTATTTGTAATTCACGTAGGTGTCCAGGGTGGGTATATGTTGCATTTATGTTAGTATATATTCAGTATATGTTTAATATATATACATAAAACATACCATCAAAAAAATGTTGGTGTATGTGTTGTATATATTTCAATGATTATAGTAAATATAAAGCATAATCATGGTATATATAATGAATATATAAAATATAATGTCGGTATATATACTTACAATACAAACCGAAATGATGGTATATGTATTGTATATGTTTTCCATGATTTTACTAAATTTAAACCATACATATACCGAAGATATACTGAATATAAACCATACATATAGCAGGGGGAAACGATACAAACAAGATACAATATGAGGGATAAAAATATACCGAAAATTTATTAAATATAAACAATACAAAAATATGGTGACACTATGTATGCCTTTCTTTTTCTCCCTCTCTCAATATAAATTATTCTTTTTTTTATCATTGATTAGAAATTTGCATGCGTGTATTCATGTGAACAATTGTATTTGTTTTTTTTCATGCTTTTATTTTGACATTGAAAGCAACATAGATTATGGAACTGAGTAACAGTTATTATTAATAACTGTTATTATTTTTGGTAGGGGTCTTTATTAATTTAGGTAGGCAAAATTCATGGCTAATGGTAATTTCATCAGTTACCCAAATTAAAAGGATGTGGTATGTATGCAAATAAATAGGATGATTTTAGTGATTTTGCAAATAAAAATATATGAGTTGTATGAATGTAATAAAAATGACATAAGGTAGTGCACAAGGTAATTTCCTCTAATTCGGCATGCCGTATTGTGGGCAATTTAGGCACAACAATTGTCATGTGGAGGTCGATTGAAACGCAAAACATGAAATTTTAGGTTTAAGTTTCCACGCTACTCAACTAGGTTAGTCAACCCCATCATGTATCATCTATCATCGCCTTTTTCTCTTCTAAACCATAATTATGAGTATCTAAACCAACCTTAGAAAATTGGAGTCAAATTACTCTCATTACTTTGAATTACTATCACAAATGTGATTGCCAAAGGAAAATGTACAATAATGCAAATTTTCTCCTATTTGCTTTTCATCTTAGAATGATTACTAACTTATGATTCACGATACCCCTTTTATTCTTCATCACTATTAATAATTAGTTACACTTTGACCCTTAGCGTTCATCAATTACTGCTTTGCGAAGTTGTAAAATGCCAAAAAGGCTTACTTATAATTATATATAAATAATAACACCTTCGTAGCA